TGCTTAACTCAAGCCGTGCACCTTGAAAGGGTTGGACCCGAGGGTATAGAGTCCTCTTTGTACGAGGAAGATCAAGTGTGTTCCCCAGAGAAGAGGAGGCACACCCGCTCCTCTGCAAACCGTGCTGGCATCAGCCACCTCCTTGCTGGTGCCTCCTTCCAGCCTGGTGGACAGGTTGGTCACCGTGTCTTGGGTCGGGTATTTCGGTGTTTCTCCAGGGAGAGACTCACACCCGCACTACAAATCCGTGTTGGGGCCAGGCAAGCTCTCCTACGTGCTGGACGATGTCGGCAGTGGAGAAAACACCTTCTACGTTGAAGGGTTGGCTTTCCCTGACTTGGGCTTCTCCGGGTTGGTTTCCTTCAGCACCAGCTTGCTGGAGGTCCCCCATAAGGTATGTGGGGTTTGCCCCATCCCCTGCAAAGTCCCCCAGCGGTGGGGTTTTCAACCGCCGCTCCCCGGCGTTTTCACCCCTCGCAGAATTCGCCGGGCACCCCGATTTTCACGGATACGGTGGTTTTCCGCGTGGCGCCCTGGATAATGACGCCCAACACCCAGCAGCCTCTGGAGGTTTTTGTCTGCAGGTAGGAGGGGAGTCACCCCATTGCTCCCCTACCTTGGGGGACTCTCCAAGGAGGCTTTTTCGACCCTTCCTTGCTGCGTAGCAGCTATAGGCTGAGCCAGGCTTTATGCATGCTATACCAGAGCCTAATATTTGGGTAGGGAGCCCGCTGGCACTGCTGCACTCGTTGCAACCCCAGGGAGAAAGCTGGAGGAGCCTCTCCAGGAGCTAATCTCATGCAGGACTATTACCCAGCGCATTTAGGAACGAGGAATGGGCTGCACGGTTGGGGTTGGGGGGGCTTCTCGTGATCCCCCCTTGCAGCATTCGCTCCTTCCTCTCCCTCCAGCATCCAGCAGGGCTCAGACTCCAACAAAGTCTTTCTGGAAGGGCTCCAGGTCCTGCTGAGGAAAGCCAACTGCAAGCTGACCATCTGCTCGGAGGTGGAAACCCGCAGCGACCGCTGGATCCAGGTCATCAATCGATGCTCGCAATATGCGGCTCTCCTGGTCCCTTACAGGCTCCCGGGGCACGTAGGGTGTCACCCCCGTTGCTGGCACCCCTGGGAGGGATCAGCTGCGTTGCTCAGGGAAGCGCCTAGATGCTAAGAGGTGAACCAGGCAACCGTGAACTAAAGCACGGGGAAATGCTGCTGGTGGTGGCAACCGGCACAGGCAGGGATGTTGTCCAGGGACCCGGCGGGGGGGTTGCAGGAGGGGACCCCGTTGCAAGAGGGACCCCGTGGGACATCGCAAGAAGGATCCCATTGCAAGAGGGACCTAATGGGGGCATTGCAAGAGGTACCCTGTTGCAAAAGGGGACCCCATTGTAAGAGAGACTCCATGGCACATTGCAAGAGGGTCCCCGTTGCAAGAGGGACCCAGCGGGGCATTAGAAGAGGGTCTCCACTGCAAGAGGGTCCCCATTGCAAGAGGGACCCCACGGTGCATTGCCGGGAGGACACGGTGTGTGCCGGCTGGATGTGCCGTGTGCTTCCTCCAGCGTGCCCAAGCCCCGCTTCCCTCCCCGTTGTGGCCGCGGGTTGCTTCCCCCGG